TGGATCTATTTTCCAGTGAGTTATTTCACATTGTTTTCTAATTTTTCATTCTTTTGGTTTTGTTTTATAGTGTCTTGACTTCTCATAAAGTCACTAGCTTCCAATTTCTCCATTCTAATTTTTAAGGAAGTATTTTCTTCAGTAAGCTTTTGCACTTCCTTTTCCATTTGGCCAATTTTGCTTTTGAAGGCATTCTTCTCCTCATTGGCTTTTTGGACCTCTTTTGCCATTTGGGTTAGGCTATTTTTTAAGGTGTTATTTTCTTCAGTATTTTTTTGAGTCTCCTTTAGCAAGCAAGTTGACTAGTTTTTCATGATTTTCTTGTATCACTCTCATTTCTCTTCCCAGTTTTTCCTCTACTTCTCTTACTTGCTTTTCCAAATCCTTTTTGAGTTCTTCTATGGCCTGGGACTGATTCATATTTTTCTTGGAGGCTTTGGATGTAGGAGCTTTGACTTTGTTGTCCTCTTCTGGTTGTATGTTTTGATCTTGTTACTAAAGAAAGATTCTGTGGTCTGACTTTTTTTGCGCCTTTGTTTGCTTATGATCCTAGCCAATTACTTGAGTTATAAACTCTTTGTTAAAATAGGGGTCTGCTTCCAATGTGGAGAATGTACTGTCCCAAGCTTCAGGGGTTTTGTGCAGCTGTTTTCAGAAATACTTCTAGTGACCTGTAAGTTTCCAGTTCTCCCAAGGTGGTATGATCAAGGGCGAGGTGTTTACTCCTTTCCTGGCCTGTGCTGTGGTCTATGAGTGACCACAAGCACTCTTTTCTGCCTTGGAACTGGGAGGAGGATTCCCTTTCCACTGCCACTACAACCTCCCCCACACCAGCACTCCTCTTCACCCCAGGATTGCCACCCAGAACTGTATCCCAGATCCAAGCACAGGCAAAGCAAGAGAATCCTGTCCCAGCACTAGCAAAAGATCCCTGCAATCCCCCTCTGATCAGCCACTCTATTCCCCCTCAGTCTGTGGGCCAGAAGCTCAGGAAGCAGCCGCTGTCCCAGGACCGCACTTCTCTCCCACCACAGTCACAGACTTTTCCTACTGACCTTCTAAGTTGTCTTTGGCATTTGTGGGTTGAGAAGTCAGGAAACTGCCACAGCTGCCGGTGATTCAGTCCTCTGAGGCCTGTTTTGCCTGTGTGCCCACACAGAAATGCACTCCTCTCCCAGCTGGGCACAATAGCCCTTTCTAATCACCCATCCAGGTTGTCTTGGGCTGGAAATTTGTTTCATGCTGTCTTTTTGTGGGTTCTGCTGCTCTAGAATTTGTTTAGAGCCATTTTTTTACAGATATTTGGAGGGGTTTGGGGAGAGCTCAAGGAAGTCACTGTTTTTACTCTACCATCTTGGCTCCGCCCCCTCAAGCTGAAGTATTTGTATTCTGTTCTTCAAGAAAAAAGGATAATTGTCTGGATTTAAAAGACTTTTTGATTTTAAATTTTTGCTCATGTAATATACTGTATCAGTTGCTGTGGATTATGTATTATCACTTTTTTTTCTTTTTCTGCCTATCCACCTGACCATGGAAACTAGAAAATGATGTTAATAACAATTTATGTGATAAAGGAACACTCAAAATTGAAATGCAGGCTTGGCTAATGTAGAGTTTTTTTATTTTTTGAAAACTTTGTTTACTGTTTCTTGGCTTTCTGTCTTTATTTGTAAACCAATCTTGACAAGATAACTTTTTGAAAAATAAAACTGAGTCATACACACTGATATTAAAATGCATCATTTTCCCATCCACTGTATAAATTGATGTCAATTTAGAGAGGGATAAAAATCAATGTTCAAAAATTCATTTTTGCTAAGTTGAAATGTAGCCTCACAGTTGGATCAAATAAAGGTTAAAAGGGTGTCAGTGTGTAAGAGCACTTAAAGCCAATTTGTTGACATTGGTATCTTTACAAAATTGCTTTCCTTAGGAGAGATGCACGTAAAATTGGAAATGGTTTTTCCTGCTTCTGACATTATTGGTGAAGTTAAATGCAGGCTGTCCACTATCCTTTATGTATTTAACTTTGCTATTCAGCTCATATAATTGCTCTTTAGTTAACATCTGTCAGCACTTCTTGACAATTGCTGAACAGATTTCTTTCTTTTCTTCTTTTTCTAGCATTTCAGAAAAATAATACTGTCACTCAGTGATAGAAAATACTTTCCCACCATAGTTTCCATAGTATTTTGTAATTTAGTCTGTATAGCCCCCTTATTGAGTATTTTTGGTTTGAGTTTTTGTTATTGGCCACGGTAGTAGTCAGTATGAAGACCTCAGATCAGGAAGACCTAGGTTTGAATCCTGACTGTCGTTTCCTGGAAATGTGACACTCTCTCAGGTTACTCTTGGGAGTTCAGTTTAATTACATAAGCATTTGTTAAGCACTGATAGCACTGTACCACAGTAGTTTCCTGGGATGCCAAAAAAACAATACCAGTCCATATCACCCAGGAGTTTTACTTTCTTTCTGGAGCATATGGTGTCCTTGGGTCTTGAAAGAGTTTTAATAGGAGGCATATCACATGAAAATGTGAACTTGTACCTAGAGGAAGAGCATCATTTTGCTATGATATTTCATACCTACTTATTAGTATCATAGATCTAGGGTCAAAAAGGACCATAGGAGTCATCTGGTCCATTTTACAGATAAGAAAATTGAATCATAGAGTACTCCCAAAAACCCCCCATGTGGGTAACCAGTATTGTTACATAACTGTGGTCAAAAGTCAATATAAAGATACCCAGATAATTTTCTTTAAAAGCAGTAGCTCTTAAGTAATTATCTACGTAAGACTTAGATCTTGATAGAGTTTAAGCATCCAGACCTTTGATGTCACAAGAAATGGTAATAATCAAACATACTATGCTTTAAGGTACATACCTTTCCTCATTTGATCCTCAGAACCCACTGTTGAAGTAGTATCAGAAATACCATTATCCCTGTTTTATATATGAGACTATTCAGTCTCTCAGGGAGGTAAAGTCCATGGTTACAATAAAAATGTAATGTTGGGAGTGGTTTGGAAACCTAGGTTTCATGACTCCAAATTCAGCACTCTGACCACTATATTCAGCTATCTTTTGTTAAACTTTCCAACAATGGAGGAAAAGTGGGACATTGAATAGAAAAACAGAACAACCGAAGGGTAAAAGAGATGGGGATAGCAAATACAAGCCAGTATGCAGTTGCCTTCCTTCTTGCCCAATCTGTGCCCGTGCTACTCAGAGTGATTGGTGTTAGTTTGGGTAGGTAGGTTGGGCCATGATTTGGCAGGCTCCTCCTTTTAAGAAGATCACTAGTCAGGTGTGAGTTAATAGATAGTCTTGGAGAATTGCTTTGGGCAAAAATTTTATCTTTCTGCTGCATCAGCAGCAAGCCTCCCCAGACATTGCTAGGCCTGCCCTTGGCAACAGATTTCTGTCAGCAGACCCACATACTAGAGCTTTTTGCCATGGTGAGGGATTAGAAAAGAACTTTAGTGGAAATCTAGAAATAGTATTGGCTAACTAGGGCAGCTAGGTGGCACAGTGAATAGAGCACTGTGAATCAGGAAGACCTGAGTTCAGATCCAGCCTCAGAAACTTCCTAGCTGTGTGACCTTGGGCAAGGCACTTGACCTCTGTTTGACACCAGACAAGGAAATGGCAAACTAGTCCATTATCTTTGCCAAGAAAACCCATGGACAGAGGTCCCACTAGGTCACAGAGTCTGACATGACTGAAACGACCGAACAACAACAATTGGCTAATAATTTATGGCCAGTGGAGCTTGGTCTGTACTTCCTTTTATGCCCCTGTGGTACACTTTCTGCTTTTTTGGTTCACCTTTTGTATTCTCCAGATCATTTGCACTTTAATAACCTTTCTTGCTTTGCCCATCCTTCACCAGAGAAGATTGTTCAGATTCTCATTCTTCTCTTTGCTGATTATGGAACCCTGGGTAAAGATAGCCTTTTAAACTTCAGAAGCCTCCTCTGTAAAGAGGGAGAATAAGAACGCTTAGACCACACATTCTCTGTAGAATTAAAGACAGTCACTGTACAGACTGTAAAAAGCACTGTTAGAATCTCGGTTATTGGAAAAACTATCACGGACTTGAGGATCACTGCATTGTTGTTATTTTCATATCACAAATGCCCAGCCTAGTGCTAAGCGCTCAATGCTTATTCACTGACTGACTTACTGATTTAGTCACTACGGATAAAACTACAAGTCAAATTACAAGCAGAGAGATGGTTCCTGCCTTCAAGGAGCCTCCTTTATAATGAAGAAAATAATACATGAAAGGATGACATAATGGAGAAATTCAGTACCCTGGAGAGAAATAAAGTGGTGGCTGGCTTGGGCTCCTCCTCAAATGGAGCCTCTAGGAGGACCCACCCAGTCAATGAGAAGGCTGCATGGGTGATGTGAATTTCAGGGCTGAAGCAGATGAAGAGATTTCTGAAGCATGGTGAAGTCCAAAGTGCAGCCTGGTGAGAAATGATCACAGGTCTAGTTACCATACAGCTCAGAAGCAATTGTATAGTGTTCTCCAGTTACCTATCATGTAAAAGAAGTGACCTTTCATAAAGAGAATTGTGTCCATGAGATAGTCATTTAATGATTTTTAAGTATAAACTTTTTTGTAACTCATAATGAAGATAAAAGTATCTCATAGGTTTGTGTTGGATACCTGCCATTAAATTATTCATCATAATTATAGAATGAGAGGCAGTATGATATAGATAGTTTTGTAGTCACGAAGAATGACTTGACTGGGTTCATATTTTGCCTCTGACACACATTAGACTTAGTGACAGTAAGTTGCTTAACTTCTCAATGTTGCAAGTGACTCTCTATGACTCCAAGTTATAATATAATTGCTGATCTTCATTGGTGAAGGGCATTTCCTCACTGGAAGTTCCCTATGCCAGAAAAATTACAGACTCAGTCCCCCCTCCCCATATTCCCTAAATCTAGTGGATTAAAACAAAAATTCTTGACTATTTCAGAGCTCTTCCCCTGAAGTTATACTTAGTAACCCTGAGCCAGTGACAAATTATGGAAAAGGCAGATGGGTAAGTAGTGACAAAGGTAAATTATCATTATTTCTAATTATAGTAAAATCCCCATAGTTAGGCATCAATATGCATTTCATTGACTTAAAAGGAATAATTGTCTAAAAACTGTTCTCTTTCCTATTTGAGTTGGATTTGTCTGAATTTATCAGATAAGATAAGTACAAAGAATGGGGGAAGAGCTAACTCATTGATTTGTAAATTTTTGTCACTTGTAGATGAAATTAGACTTTGCTTTTAAAATGAGAGAGAATAAGAAAAATACTAAAGTAGCCTTTTAAAAACTGGTTTTGGATCAACATTCCAAGATAATGCAGAAAAAAAACTTTCTCAGGTGGCTTTTTTGTTCTTTTTTAAAAGGTAAAATTACAGTCAAGGTATATTATACAAATTCCAGCCTTTGAAATTGCATATCCCTTTCTTAAATTAGCCATGGGTAATGTAAATGGAGTAAGATAAGTCTTCTCTTAAATCTTTAACAATTTGTATGCTTTCAGTAGATAGAATGAATGACTCCCTCTGTTACCTGTCTCTAGTTTTAGACAGCCTCATATTTTTATTTAATTTTAATTAATTTAGTGTTTATAAATTTAATATTTATAAAGCATCATCTACCTGAGTAGTTTATGTCTCAGGAACAGATTAGATTACTGGTTAAGGCTCCTTGTTGTCCATTGGGTCTAATTATTTTACTAACTTGATTGAATTCAAGGAAATGCAGATATCATTTACGGAGGCTTTAAAACTTCACATAAAAACCCATAGAACACCAACATTATGAAGATAGTAGCTGAATTTAGTCTTTCCCTGTTATAGCAAGAAAAGCACTTGCATTATACATCACTGTCTGAATGAGAAGTAGACATGTATGACAGATCTACAATAAAACCACATCAAATATATAGTTAGGTACTTTATCACAGAAAATTTTATATCTGTTTTCAAATCAAAATACTTATACTGCTAGCTGGAAAATTATTCTATGTTTGCCTTTTAACATATATAAATAAAAGGTAGAGATTTAAGAAATAAAATTTTATAAATTTACTCAAGTAGTGCTATTTTTGCTTCTTGATATCTTTAAGTTACTAAAGAATACTTCTTGTGTCTTTATTTGTAGAACTTTTAAGACAGTTATCTCAAAATTGGGGTTTTTATTAAAAATTCTGACCTCAAATTCCCAACATATATTAACACAACAAAATAAAACCTTTGATTTTTTTAAATGCATCATCTGTTACCTATGTGTTAGTTTCTTGGATTAATTCCCTGTCTTTCCCAGACCTCTCTGTAAATGAATTTCACTGGAATTGGTTTATTTCCACATACACCCACACAGCTCTTGGTAATAAGTCCCAAACTTCACATCCCTGCTTGTCCCCATCAGTTGAATACAGCTTTGCTCACTTTTGATCACTGAACATCCTTTTCAGCAGTTCCATTTGTTGAACTGTATAGGTTTTCAGGTAAGCATTTTCTGTCATCTCAGCTATGTACAAGGCTTCTTGTATTCCAGTCTATTTGACAAGAATGAAGGTATTCCCCTTCTTTCCACCCTCCCTCCTTGCTTTTAGGATCATGAGATTTAGAGCTTGTGTGACTCTGTGTTCCCATTTGAGGTTTTCTTGGCCAAGGATATTGGAGTGCATTGCCATTTCCTTCTCCAGCTCATTTTATAGATGAGAAACTGAGGCAAACAGGGTGAAGTGACTTGCCCAGGGTCACATAACTAGCAAGTGTCTGAGGCCAGATTTGAACTCAGGAAGATTAGTCTTCCAGACTTCAGGCCCAGTACTCTATCCACTGCATCACTAGCTGCCGGGGACATACACACACACACACACACACACACACACACACACACACACACACACACACACACAC